TAGGGTCAGAATTCCGATTTTTTCCAGTAGAGATTTTCGGGAGAGAATTTCGCCAAAAGTCACAGTGTAGGATTGGAATCGTAAAAGGTAGTGTTCTCTATTCAGTTTTTCACGCTGATTCCGGATATCATCTCGGTGGCCTTCCAAAGATCTCAGGGACTGAGATATTGCATTTTTTTTGAAAAGTTATGATTTTTCAGAAAAAGAGCACCTCATAATGTTTTGAAGTTTTTTCCATGAAGAAGTGGACTAGAGGGGTTTGAAAGAACATATTCGTGATCCCTCTTGTATTTTGGCTCAATAAAGAAGATCAAAAACAGTCGACGGCGAACAACTAATATGAACACATTTCTGTTCAGAACTTAATACTATGATCAATAGTATTAGCTTCTACTGCTTAAACTATTTTTATTCTATTGCAGCAAAGATGATTTTAACAAATTTCCACAGACACTAATTGAATTTCAAGAAGAACGTACAGCTGAATGTGGTCAAAATATTATCGATCCTTATAGAGGTGGTCCAGTTCATTATACGGGAGTTTATGGACGGAACGAAATGATCGTAGGAGATGTTGACACAAAAGCAAAAAGAAAAGTGTAAGACAACTAATTCGGAGTTATACTTCTTCCGATGGTGAATATATTATGAACTGTTAGTCTAAAAGTAATATGTAAAATGCCACGAATTACAAAAGTGAATCATTTTGTTAATACACCACCATTTCGCCTCATCAATCCTCCATATAATACAAAGACATTATATGGTTTACCACAACAGTTAACGGTTGGAACAAACGGGTAAGAATTCCTTTACTTTTGTTTACAAATTAAAAAACAAGCAAGAATTATGTTTTTCGTAGTAGAAACATATGTCTAACCTAATCATCTACATTCTACTCTTATCAAAAGTCTTTTAGATTATTTTCAAATCAAATTGCATTGCACATACTAAATATCTGTTATATCTCTTAAGTACAATTTTCTTATTATATTTTTACTGAATTTTGCATGTAACCAACGCTTAAACGGTTTTTTTCTTTTAGGTATGAGCTTTTGTTATTTATCGCATAAATCATTTTATTGGCCTAATAAGAACGGAAAAGGATAATTATTATTTATTCGATGGTAAAACTGATGATGAAGATAGAGTAAATCTGTGTATGGTTACTATTCAACCAACATCAACAACACTTCACTTTTCTAACAATAAGACTATTAAGTCTCCTACATTTGAAACAGCTATTTACTGTCGCTCAAGTACATGAAATATTGGTTGTTTTATGTAATACAATGTGATGACAGCAAATTTTTAATTATTCCTATAAAAAGTGCAAGCGACCAGAAGCAAGCAATATTTTAGGCACAATAAAAAAAGTAGTTACTTTTGTTTATTTATAGTTATATCTTGCTGTTGAATATTTTACTCGTTGTATTCTCGGGCTACAAATACAATAAAATTTGTCCTGCTTCTTATTTTATGATTACTACCAATCACTTTTTATGTTCAAGTTCTAACGCAAGTCTAAGAAATTTATGTATTATGAAATGAATTAAAACGACACTTACGAGGGAACCTCTCGAGGTGATTAAAAGCTTTTCGAGTGAGAATAAGTTAGTAAGGTAGGCGCTAGTTAGGAGTAAAAAAGTCTATCTGGGGAGCGGCCCATGGTGCTTTCGTGTGAAGATACGAATTTCGCAAGTTATAGCTAAGTTTCTGCTTTTTTTACACGAAATAATTGATTTCTCCGTAACACAAACTCATATTGGTCTCCTATTTTTATCGAAGCATGTCTAAGAGTCGATGACCAAGACTGTATACTTTCAAGTGAAACAAACAAGTAGCAGCGATGAAACTGAATTTTCAAGTTTTTACCCATAGTACCCATACCTTGCATGTTTTACCCTGCAATAGGGAAAGCTCCGTTTGACCGGATTGTTTTACCTAATACTCCAGTCCCCAATGCCCACAAAAGCCTAAAAGGATTTATTCCCATGACTCTTGAAGACTCGGTTTTCTGGAAAACCAGTTTTCCCGAAACTCTAAAAGATACCCAAAACATTTCTTAATAAGGCACAATTGTAGTCCGGAAATTTCTAATTAAAATGAGACATCTCCCAGCCCTACGCGACCTTTCTCTGCGAAGTTACAGAATTTACAAGAAAAGCCCTAAATTGATTTCGTCTTATTTCTGAGCTGACAATGAACATTGACAGATAATATCAACAGAAGAATTTGAAAAACTTAAGAAAATTCGTCTCATATCAACTAATAGTTTCTTTTCGACATCACGTAATTTGGATATCGCACGACAGTTTATTGCTGGTACAGTTGATAATGAACATTATAAATCTATTTTATTTCATATAAAAGCTGATACATCTCTACAAACAGTAATATTTGCTGATATTGAAAAATTCAGCCGTATGTTAGATGAACAAGAAGTTTTGTTTAGTATTGGCGCTGTTTTTGAAATTGATTCGGTTGAATTTGATAGAGATTTAAATGTATGGAAAATTAATATGAAAATAAAAGGTGATAGTTCAAATGATATTAAACAATATACGAAGAGCATAAAACAAGAATTAGGTAAGTTTACACCATCGATCCTATTCGGTCGTCTTCTTTTTATTCATCTGGGACAATTAGAAAAAGCTGAATAAGATTTTCGAATGTTATTAAAAACTCTACCAGAAAGTGATGAAGGTGATGCAAGTGCGATTAATAATTTGGTCATATATATCGTGAACAAAATGAGTTTAATTTACCTTTGGAAATGTATACATATGCCTATGAATTACGTCAAAAACAACTGCCAGAGGATCATCATTATATTGATGCATGTCTAAATAATATTGGCGCGATTTTTAAAGATAAACATGAATATGCTAAAGCGTTAGATTGTTCACAGACAGCTCTTAAAATCTATGATAAAAATTATCCAGATGATCACGCAAGTAAAGCGTATATTCTAGCAAATATTGGTCTGATTTATAAAGGTCTAACACAGTATCAATTAGCTTTAGAACATTTAATAAGAGTACAGAAAATGTATCAACGTTTATTACCTGAAGAGCATCCCTATATTGTATCGGTTCTAAGACGAATCGGTTCAGTTTATGAAGATCAAAGAGATTATAACGTGCACTTGATTATTATAAATGTGGTTTTAAAATGGAATATAAACTGTTACCTAGGGGTCATCTACAATTAAAGAAGCTACAATTGTTTGTTAATCAAGTCTATAGACAGAAGGGTATGAAAACTTCTTTGTTTTCGCAGGAAAGAATATAGCATCTCGATTTGTCCATTTTAGTTAAGAAAATGATACAAATTTTTTCTTGTATATTTATATTTTTATTTACCATCATGCTATTAATTATACAATTGACCTTAGGATCATCTAAGATTGTCTAAGATCTCTACAAGTGTACACGACCAAATACCTAATACTAAATTATTGCGCACTCGGACGAACGTGACGACTTTTATACGAAGAAAATACGCTGAACAGTCATGATTTGTGTATTCTTCTAATATCAATCAACATTGTTTAGTTTTTAGAGACTATGGTCAGAAGAGCAACCAGCTTTCTTGATGTCAGAAGAGAACTCATCTTATGTTGAAAAATTAATATTGCTGACTTTTAAACGAAGAGCTTTGTGAATAAAGGTGAAGTCCGCATAAGTATCTTAGGCTGCGGCGACAACAATTTTCCGTACACAACAATTCTCGTTTTCTTTTGATCATAGCTCGGGGTAACGAAAAAAGCTTTTGAAAAGTGGTTTGCACCAAAGTATTATCGGCTCTCTTTACTATATTTGCAGATAACAAAAGTAAGAAATATTCATTGCTACTAATTGTAGGCCCATTAGACCACTCAGCATGTTGTTCTCTCAGCCATGAACTTTTCCGATCGACAAAAAATTTCGTACAGTTGATAAAAACGTTTTCTCGAAGTTTAGACTCGGTTACTAAATTAAAGACATTTATGCACGAAAACTTGAGCAAATGCTATCTCAAAAATGAAAAAAGAAGTACTGGTCAAAAATGCAAGGTTTTCAGCTTGGAGAGGACACTTTGGATATCTATCTGTAAAAAGAAGTCAAGAGATTTCTATGTCAGTTTCTAGAGGTCTAAGTTGGTTTTCCAAAGATCTTCAGAATCACTGATTGGTGAGAGGTCTGAGTTGGTTTTCCAAAGATCTTCAGAATAACTGATTTTTTAAATAATTCCGGAAATGAGTTTTGCCTGAAGAAATATAGCTTCAGGTGTCCTCTTTCGACTTCTGAAAACCACAAGTTTCTATCATTTTTCATATTTGAGTTATTCGAAAAACAACAGAGTGCCTTGTATTTTGGCGCCTATAGTAGTATGTAATAAAAACGAACAAAAACCCGGTTTACGTTAAATAAAATTAACTTATGCGCACATCAGCTCAAAATAATTTTCATTCCACCCAAGATAAACATCATTGATAGAAAAAAAAGTTCACGTTCTTCGGAATGCTAGCGCTCCCACGAACGTCAACGCACTATAAGTGTAGTAGATAGAACTCGATGACCTCTAGGCCTTGTTCTCCAGAGCCCAACATCTAAAACATCTAAGATTTTGGTTTTCTCCCTAACTTTTTGTATGTGGAACCGAATAAGAATGGTTTTAGAACTGTTTTTCGTCAGTTAACCGCGACTCTCTAGACGCGCGTGGACTATCGCCTGATGTCTACATTAAGGTTAACCATTCACTTTTAGTATTATGGATAATAAATGAGTGAAAATAACTCATTTCTCTTCCACTTCTAGTTGTGCCGATCATCTAAAATGAAGTATTTTCAAGTTGGGTTAGCCTTATTATCATTGTGTGCTATACAAATTAATAGTCAAACATGGACTGGGCACTACACATGGCATGGTTCTCCATGTGATAATATACAATGTTGCTGTGGTAGTGGTAGAATGAGAATAACTCAACCATCATCTACAACAATAGCAGTAGTAACAGGTACCAGTAGTTCATGTGGTATCCCATCCATCACTCAAACATTATCAAATGTTAATGGTTATAGAATAAATCAGTCGTCGCAGTTAAATATGCAGCCTCCAGGTTCAAATGGCACAGTCGTATGGACATTAAGTTCGGATAGTAAAACAATTACACTAGCCAGTACAAAATGGCTTAGCATTTGTACCGACAGAGCCACAAAAGTGCACAATTAAACGTTTTCAGTAATCTTATTCGTTACCAAAATATCACTGCAAACATCTAAGATTTTGGTTTTCTCCCTAACTTTTTGTATGTGGAAGCGAATAAGAATGGTTTAAGAACTATTTTTCTTAAGTTAACGGCGACTCTCTATCATAAAATCTTTTAATTTTTCTATTGTTTCTTCTAAGAACATATTCACATTCGGATGTTCCGAAAAAGAAAGGTATGTTTGCCATTCCAAATTCGTGTAATTTATAAAATTAAAGCGAATTCCATACATTTTACTAACTTTAGTCTGTAATATTCAGATCTCTATATGCCAAAAACTAAAAGAGAGCTTTTTCTAAAAAATAGCATAGTATAGAGTACAAGTTGTGTACTACAAACTGACAGAAAAGCTGAGGAAGGATACCGTCAAATTTGTTAACGTTTTAATCTCGGAAGTTGCTAGAATAAACACTGATTTCATAGTGAAGAGAATCTTTCTTTTGGTTAAAACGATAAAATTTGTTCTGTTCTCCATTTTTTACTTTATATCTGTGTCTCTATAGTATGCATAGAAAGAAGAAGACATCAAAGGTTCATCCAACTGAACTAGTGCGTAGATTTTATCGACATGAATATTTCGTTATACAATTAAGAATATAACGGTAATGGATGAGTAGTCATTGTTCATCATTTGACACTCTTATTCATTGATTATCAATAGCTCTGTTTCAAGAAGATACTGACTATTGATAATAGCAGTTTTAACCATTTGTATTTCTGTATTACATACATTATCTCTGACTACCATGGCCCGAAGAGAAAGCCGAAAAGTCATGGTAGTTCAGAAAGATCTTAGAAAACTCATTTGACTTTGTATTGACTTAGACACCGACTTTTTCATACGTTCAGCTGTGATATGGGCAGCTTTATAACTCAAAAAGTAAACGGTACCTTTTTCTAAAAAATAGCATGGTATAGAGTACAAGTTGTGTACTACAAACTGCCAGAAAAGTTGAGGAAGGATTAACTTTTTAATCCGGGAAGTTGCCAGAATAAACACTAGTTTCATAGTAAAGGGAATTTTTGTTTTTGATAAAACGATAAAATTTGTTCTTTTCTCCATTTCTTGCTTTATATCTCTCTCTGTAGTGTGCATAGAAAGAAAAAAAAATCAAGCCAAGTATAGTACAGAAAAGAATATATATACATCGTCATTCTGTTATGCGATAGTTCCATATTCTTTTTCTCAGGCATACTGAATAATACTGTTCTCAATTTTGTTTTCAATCAAATTACCGGTGAATAAATTCACCGATGCGACTTTTGACGGCTTCCCTTATCATGTTGTTCCATCAGCCATGAACTTTTTCAGATCGGTAAAAAATTTCGTACAGTTGGTAAAAACTTTTACTCGAAGTTTAGACTCGGTTACTAAATTAAAGACATTTATGCACGAAAACTTGAGCAAATGCTATCTCAAAAATGAAAAAAGAAGTACTGGTCAAAAATACAAGGTTTTCAGCTTGGAGAGGACACTTTGGATATCTATCTGTAAAAAGAAGTCAAGAGATTTCTATGTCAGTTTCTAGAGGTCTGAGTTGGTTTTCCAAAGATCTTCAGAATAACTGATTTTTCAAATAATTCCGGAAATGAGTTTTGCCTGAAGAAATATAGCTTCAGTTGTCCTCTTTCAACTTCTGAAAACCACAAGTTTCTATCATTTTTCATATTTGAGCTCAAAATAATTTTTACTCCACCCAAGATAAACATTATTGATAGAAAAAAAAGTTCACGTTCTTCGGAATACTAGCGCTCCCACGAACGTCAACGCACTATAAGTGTAGTAGATAGAACTCGATGACCTCTATCGAATGGCAAAATCAACTTTTCAGAATATTGTATATTTCGCTTTTATAGTGAAAAATGGATTTTAACTGAAAAAACGAGGCTTTTTGGAAAACCTGTAACCCAGACCAGGACTATTTGGGCATCTTTTTGGTACTTCTGGATGTGTATCACAAGTGGAAGGATATTCTGTGAAAGATATTCTCAGAGATGGCACAGCTTTAGTAAAAACCATTAGGCGAAAACATAGAAATCAGCTGTTAACTGCTCTTACGTAAAACAATTTGGACTTATCGAAATGCAGTAGTTATTTTCGGTAAAGCTCTGAGATGGTTAGACATGGAGACGAGATGATTTTTTTCATCCATTAATCCCCTCCCTTTCGATACTAGTTAACTGATGATTATCAAGATACGAGTTCGTGTTAAAATTCTGGTAATGTCTCTCTCCCATTTTAATATACTTCACTGTAAAAAGGGTGACTGAGTGTAACTGGATGAAGATTTTCGCAACAATTGCAAACTTTTTATGTTATCGAACATAGATGTGATTATGTTTTCATGTGTTACTGTCCTTTGTTAAATGTCAATTTTTACTGTCTCTTTTATGTTCACATTTTACACTATATACCATTTGCAGATGGACTCTTCTAAGATTAAAAACTCAAAGGTCTCGTATAAAAAACAAATTTTGCTTTTGCACAAGCAAAAGCAATCACTGTACAGAATACATTATCATTTTATATTTTGTTTCGGACTGATTATCTATCGTGTAGTGTCAACGTTCGTATCTTAGGCTGCGGCGACAACAATTTTCCGTACACAACAATTCTCGTTTTCTTTTGATCATAGCTCGGGGATCATCGCTGATCATCCCTCAGCCATGAACTTTTCCGATCGACAAAAAATTTCGTACAGTTGATAAAAACTTTTTCTCGAAGTTTAGACTCGGTTACTAAATTAAAGACATTTGTGCACGAAAACTTGAGCAAATGCTATCTCAAAAATGAAAAAAGAAGCACTGGTCAAAAATACAGAAAAACTTGCTAACACTGTCAGTTTTAATATACACTATTTGTTTACATTGAAATATATTCTCCAAACTATCAACTGATACCAAAAAACTCTCCAATGATATCCTTTCTGATGCATCGAAATAGTCTGATACTACAGCCATACGGGAACAAACAAAAATGTTGATATCATAATATAACATTAGAACAGAGGGGAAGCAGATTTCGATGTTCAATCGGTGTAGTCTTTCCGTGAAACAAGACCATGATCTAACCATCTTTGCATCGAACGATTAATCGCGTTAATTTCCTCCAATATACACAAAAAGGTTAGGAATGCAGATATTCAATCTTTTTAAAATGAGAGCGTGAAAAACTAAATGCAATAGCTCATTTAGATTTTCGAGTTTGGAGACACATTTTGATAGTAAAGCACAGAGACCTAAGTAGGTGCCGGACACTGGGGGGGGTGTAATGAAAGTTTTTTGTCCGATATATTGTAAACTTTATTTTAAATTTCACGTTCGAGGTGGTGTAAACACTGTTTTGGGGAGATACCGAACATTTTTTGTCGGCACACACGCCTGGTCATATTTGAAGGAAAATCTCATTATGCTCGTTTTGTAGAAATTAAACGCTCCACTAAATCCATATAAAACAGGGTGCATGAGGATAAGGCTATTTTCTGGCTCATAATAGTTTCCAGAAAAAATCGTACTTTCAGAATTAGTAGCGAACTCTAAACAACATCACGTATCTGTTTTTTGTGAGAAAACCATTTTCATGCTGTCAGAAAAATTTTCGCGTCTTTGACGCTTTAGTGTCAAACTCCGCAAGGCCCTGAAACTATCGAAACGCGTTTTCCAGAATCAGCGACAAAAGCTGTACACTGCAAAGTACATTTGAAGGTTCCACAGCCATAAGAAGCGTTCACCTCCTCGTCAAACTTTAGAGAGTATCAATTTCGACCCCTTCTGCTCGCAAACCTATCAACGCCCTCAGTTTCAGAGATAAAACTTTCATTTTTGCGCTGTTCGAACCATCTCCAAACGTAGAACAAAGTTATCTACCGGTTTAAAAATCCTTTAGACCTGAGGATTTTAAGAGATTTTCCCATTTTTGAGACAGATCCCCACAAAATATTGCTTTTTATGCTTGAAACGGGTTTAAATGTACGGAACTCGTTCAGGCAAGTTAGACAACGTCACTGAAATCAAAAATCAAAATGTTTTCGTCTAATAACACTTGAAATATTGTCCGTTCTAAGTAGGGTTTTAAACAAAAATATTTGAATTTCTAACACAATATTTAGTTACAAATGGAAACACATGCCGTGTATGGAAAGAGCGCATAGAGTTGTTGAAAACTAGTTTGAAAAATATCACTTTGAAGGAATATACTAGGAATATAATAACAATTGCCCGTTCGAACAGTAAGCGAAAAACTACTGTACATAATGAAACGTCCTCATATCACCGTTAAGAGACATGAAGAACTATCTCATCCCACCATTGTGGTCCTTAGGAATCGAGAAGCACGCCAATATGACTTTCGCAAACCGGAATTTCGCCAATTGTCGAAGGTCCGCCTGACATTCGCCGATTGGTGAAAGCCCTCTAAACTTTCGCCAATACTAACCATGGATTTTCGCCAATAATTCAGTTGCACTATCTCTTAATGCCAGTTATAATTCTTTTAAACGAAAACATGGCATGACTTGCATTGAGAGACAATACAACTCAAGGCATGATATGCGAAAGTGAAGTGGGCTTGCAGAATATGATTACAACACTAGTAAAGAATTTTCTCTTCTATCATTATTATGTGAACAATGGTATAGCGCGCTGATATTGAACTCAAACCGTATATGTAGGTAAATGACTCAATAGTTTGATGCAAAATGATCTGTATTATTTAATTGAGTGTCCTAGTTTTCTGCATTTTTCACTCGCTTTATAAACACCGAATTTATTAAAACCGAATCAGCGTTCTATATAACATACAAGAGATGTCCTCGACAAAATTAAGACTTTGGGATAACATTAACATTCCAGGCAAAATACTGCCGATTACCAGTCAAAACTGAAATTTCTAATTAGCCTATATTTTAAATGTCAGCTTCTTCTATTAGTTTTTGCTCACTTTCTTTCCGAATAATCATGACACTTTTGAATGGTTGAACATCTCTATTTTCGTCATTCGGACTGACAATCGGATATTGATCGTAAACTTTTCTCCAATCGCGAATAAAACTTACTTGTATCCATGTGATAAGAGTGAGATAATACAAAGCGAATAGGACTGTATTAGTCAGCATTCTGTCTAATAGTCTATCATGTTGTATAGCCAGGAAAAGTGTCAGCGCTAAATATACGCATCCGTAACCAAAGTATAAACTTAAGTGTGAATAAAAGGCTATTGACAGAATCAATTTACGTTTTTGATTGCTCAATCGCGTCCACCACTGAGTACGTCTCAGTTTTCTTTGCCATAACTCACTCAACCAAATAAGTCTTATCGTTAGCCATGTGGTTAGTCCGTACCATGTCAGCATATTGGTCATTGCGTCGATTACATTCATTAGTCTGAACACATACCTCACACAGGTGACCTTTTTCTCTAGTGGATCTGAATAGGATAAACAATCATCAACTGTACGCTGATTTGACCATCGACTAATATCAATCAGCTCTTCTTGTTTTAACCAGCAAGCATAGATACTTGACTGATTGTAAAATGTGCTGTTCATAAATGTTGAACACGTTTCAATGCTAACTTCTATTGTCAGTACTGTAAAGACAAATATGACTAATAATAAATACCATTGAATAGGTACAGCAACAGAAAATATTTCTATGAATGTGTGTTCCATGTCCACATCGGACAGTTTATTATCAAATTTAAATCGTTTTTCAAGAGACTGTGTGGTCCCTCTTATTGTAATGTTCGATGCGAGAATATTTTCAAAGGAATTTGGCATTAAACAACGGAAGAGCGGCCTCAAATTTCGTTTCTTGCATCGCGCAATCCTTATCAAAAGTATAAATACAAGCAGCAAAATGTTACCCGCGACAAGTAACCATTGTGCAGTAAAGGTTGACAGTACAGTACCGTTACGGTCATAGAAAACCATAATTACGTCATCTCTCAGCGAATAAAGAACCTAACAAGGAATTTCTTTTCCTTTCTCTTTCTCTCAAGTGGAAAGCGTACGTGACTATTACGTAAACATGTACTCTCTCTACCCGTGCAAGACATCATCATTCATTCTTCATTAAAACTTTTTTTGTCAACGTCATCTGACAGGCAATACAAGATATATTAGCATGTTTGGCAGGTACTTAATCACAACCCTTTCCCTCTGACTCATTACTTTTTCTCTCACTTTTTTTCGAACAAGTGAGAACAAAAATCATGGTTCATCGGATTAGAACAGGGAAAATAGCATAAGAAACAGAAATAAGATAGACAGTATTTAGTGGAAGTATCAGAAAAGGTAAGTTTCCAGAATGAGATATGTGTGAACTAGCGGTGTTAATTTAGTGTAATTTTAGAAAATAAATATAAATTCGTCATTTATATCTAAAAAATAAAGCTAAATAAGTCCTATCTTCACCTTAAAAAAAATAAAAGTAAAATAAAGAAAAAAAAGGTTTTATTTTTGCTGTTTTCGAGTGAATTAACAAGAGGGAAATCCTAGTATGTCATCGTTGATGCCCTCACCTCATATCATATCATGAGCTGATTATTCCTCTTCAATTGTTCGAATAAGCGGTTTTCGACTAAAAGTAACCTAGCTCAAGAAGAGAAAATTGAATAGAACTAGCACAAAGAAGTTCCGAGAAAAAAATCATGGTCGTAGAAGGAGAATACCAACTATTTATTTCATCTTTATTTCTTTATTTTGTAGAAGTATGCCTACAGTTCAGGTGTTTTCGATCAGAAACATCTTCTAAATAAAGTACTTCGTCTGAATAATAACGAATTCTCTGGTCTTAGAATATTCCACATGTACTGCATATATTCCATAAAATAAAATCTTTATTTCTTTATTTACCTTTATTTCTGAATGATTGTTCTGTTCTGTTTATCTTTATTTTATTAAAATAATCTTTTTTTCATTTATTTATCTTTATTATTTAAATATATATGAAGAATTTATATTTATCCATTACTATAAGTGAACAATAAAACTAAATTAACACCCCCTTATCAACCCCTTGAGAAATAATATTTAATTTAATATTTCTTATCAGAACCTGTGTCTGAGATTTATGGATTTTACCATACACTACGTCAAAATCGACAGTTTTGCTAAACGTATCTAATGGTACCCTTAACAATATACGAACACATCAAAAATAATGTGACAAGACAGTAAATGTGCCTTGACGCCATAGGAATTTCTAGACATAAAGTGAATGAAACCTCGTTTAGGTGAAAATATTGCCATTCTCCTTTTTTATCACAAAGTTGTGGATTTTTCAGGTTCAAAATCTAATAAAATCAAAATCTTCAAAATCTTTAGGCAAAACTACATCGATTTTCTTTTTCGATGTTCTATCTCTCGTATAAATTTGAGCACAATCGAACGTGTGCTCCGCAACTGGCAACAAGGAGAAAAAACAGGAAGGGGGTACCCTTAACCATAGCAAAAGAAAAATGGATCGAAGAAAAAAATAAGTTATTGTGAAAACATG